CGGCTGTGGCGCATTGCCAGCATCCCAATCGCCCAACATGCTTCTTCCTAAAGGTGGTTTGAATTGGAAGGCCGCCAGAGCACAATTGCCGCCCACCCGCGTTGTCTGGAACCTAGTTACACGGACGCGCTTCTTGCTTCTCGTTGCAGTCACTGGCATCATTTTGTTGCTATGGCGAGGTATTAGCAGCTCAGCGTCGGAAATGCAGAGGTAGGACTATGTCATTCAGATCCCCCCCCCTTTAGCAACAAGTCAACGTGACTAACAAATGATGGCCGTGTAGCTTTTACTGCTGGGGACCGTCAACACCTCCGATAGAGATGTCGCAGAACGAGTATTCCCGGTGGAATGCGCACATGCAAACACCCGTCATCTTCAATCATCACGCTCCTCTCAAGGTCCAGTCGCCGACGATACAAAACGTCGACTTGAACCCAATCAAGTCTACCCGAAAGGCCGTTGCAAACGAGGAGAGAGTTCTCATCCTTACTCCGCTTAAGGACGCCGCGTCTCATCTTTCCAAATACTTTGAGCTCCTTGCCGAGCTTTCCTATCCTCATCGACTGATTGATCTGGCCTTCCTCGTCTCTGACTCCAAGGATGATACCCTGGCGGTCCTTGCGGCCGAGCTCGAACGTATTCAGAAGCGACCGGATAATATCCCATTCCGAAGTGCTACTATTGTTCAGAAGGATTTCGGTTACCACCTCAGCCAGGATGTTCAGCAGAGGCACTCGTTCGAAGCTCAGGGTCCTCGCCGAAAGGCCATGGGCAGAGCCAGAAACTACTTGCTTGCTAGTGCTCTGAAGCCGGAGCACTCTTGGGTCTATTGGCGGGACGTTGACATTGTTGACAGCCCCGCTAAGATTCTTGAGGATTTCATTGCTCACGATAAAGATATTTTGGTTCCTAGTAAGTCCTTAGGGTTCTGCGCTGCATTTATGCTTCGAAGTTCTAACAACCTCCGCTCAGATATTTGGTTCCACCGATACGAGAAGGGTGTCGATATCGAAGGTCGATGTATGCTGTTTGCTACTTTGGTGACTCGGACGTACAGAAGCTAACAAGATATAGTCGATTACAACTCGTGGGTTGAGTCGGACAAGGGCCGCAAATTGGCGGCCAGTTTGGACAAGGATACCGTTCTCGCCGAGGGTAAGTCGTACCATGTTTTGCGATCTCTAAACGAGTACTCATATGCCTACAGGATACAAACAATACGATACTGGTCGTACCTACATGGCAAAGATGGGAGACTGGCGAGAGAACAAGGATGAAGAGATCGAGCTCGACGGTATTGGTGGTGTGAACATTCTTGTCAAGGCCGACGTTCACCGATCTGGTGCGTATTTATATATTTTTTCACTGGAAAACGTAACGTATAGGCTGACTGATGCACAGGCATCAACTTTCCTTGTTACGCTTTTGAAAACCAAGCCGAAACGGAAGGTTTTGCCAAGATGGCGAAGCGAGCCGGCTACCAGGTTGTTGGTCTCCCTAACTATGTCGTCTGGCACATTGATACCGATGAGAAGGGCGGCAACTTATAAACAGAAGCAAGCCTGTCAGCACGGTTTGACGGATGAAACTGGAAACCATCAAATACCACCAAAATACGATTCATATGTCTGATATTTCGCATGGACTGATTCAAAAGGGTCTCACCGACTGGTTAAAGTTGGAGAGACAAATTATTGTACGAGCGTTCATGATACTTTTCAAAAATTCTCGAGGGCGCAGGTTGGCCGTAATTGATGGACCGAGGCTTTTCGTTTGCCTCTTGTTGATTTTTGGAGCCAACGATATATTTGTGGCTTACACTGTTGTTGCAAGGTTGTTCTGGCTTGATGGATGGTAGAAGGAACTGGTGTTTTTTGTTTCATGATGCTGGGCTGTGGGAACGACGGGCCATCTCTTATTCCCACGACTGCTGGACGCCTACATTTTCACACATGAGGAGCCTTTGTGTTTTGTGTTTTTTCCGTCTTCTTGTCCTAATCGACTATACTGTGGGTCTGTTTGAGGATATTGCTTTTGGGCGTAGATGACTATTGTAAAGCAACGGGAGTTTAAACATAATAGACACAAAAATGATTTGATATATTGCCTGCTGCAGCTTGTGTAATCTGGTCTATTTGTTTGCTTGCTAGGGGTGACCTAAGTTCCTCCCCGAGTCAGGTACGGTGTACACACGGTAACCACTTTATATGTATGGCGTCACATGACGAACGGGTGAAACACGGCTAAACACGGAATGACCCAATGACCCAACCCTGGACGTTGCTGGGCAAGAGTGCCGTCATCAGCCAAGTGGCCCGCTGATGGAAGCGTCCCGCTCGACCTGGACAGGCAGCGATGCCGCCACATGTGGTTCATCTTACTGCTCTGCAGCCTACATTGCCTGTTGCCCGTAGATTATTTACCACGCATCCTTCGTACCACCAACCGCGAAACCAAGGGGAGTTGCGTCTTTACGTCGATCTACGGCCATCTACGGCAGAGCGGGATTTGCCTGAAGGCATTTATTCCGCTGCCTTGACAACGCTTACCGCCTACCGCCTCCCCCGACTTCGCTTGTCAAGAACCCGACCAAGTTCGCCTCACGATTTGTGTCAAGAATACCCCACCAGACGACTCCGGCACTCACATCCACGCGACGAAATCCTCCAACCTCGGCCGACGGCTCTGACCCTTTAACACCTCAACCACTGACGAGAGTTCACTGTAGATACTCCCTTCTTGCTTTCACGACACACACGTAGCTTCTGAGCCGTTAGCGACGACCCGGACACCCAACATGTGGAGCTGGTTCGGCGGTGGTTCCGCCCAGTCTCGCAAAGACTCTCCCAAGAATGCCATCCTCAACCTCCGTTCGCAGCTTGATATGCTGCAGAAGCGAGAGAAGCACCTGCAGAACCAAATAGAAGAACAGCATAATATTGCGCGTAAGAACGCCACTACAAACAAGAATGGTAAGGACTACAATGTGCCATGACTCCCTTTCCTCGGACTAGAGACCCTCACGATACAAGCCATATCAATATCATGGGAACAAGAAGGGAATAGGCGCTGACCTTGCGTATTTGATTTTCAGCGGCAAAGGCAGCCTTGCGACGTAAGAAGGCGAACGAACATACTTTGGATCAGACCTTGGCGCAAATAGGCACCCTCGAGACGCAGATCAACGCGATAGAATCGGCCAACATTAACCACGAGACTTTGCTGGCGATGCAGCAGGCAGGCAAGGCTATGGCGAATATTCACGGCAAGCTTACGCCAGAGAAGGTCGACCAGACAATGTGGGTGCACCTTGATATTCGACGAACTTGGAGCGTCATTTTTCGGGACGTCTTGGCCATGGATATGCTGACCTGGATTGGTATAGGGATGAACTTCGAGAGCAAAACGCACTCAGCGAGGAGATTGTCAATGCAATCACTTCAAATCATATTGGCGAAGTCATCGACGACGACGAGCTAGAGGACGAGTTGGACCAGCTTCAGCAGGAGAAGCTGGACGAAGATATCCTCAAGACGGGAAGTGTGCCCGTTGCAGATATTGTGCACAAGATGCCGTCAGTGGCAAACCAGGAGCGTAAGTTAGGCCGTGCTATTTGAGAAAATAATGGTAGGTGGTACGCACAGTTGCTGACACGAATCACCAGCCGTTTCAAGCAGGGGCCAAGCTGTCGAAGAAGACGACGAAGAAGCCGAGCTCAGAAAACTCCAAGCCGAAATGGCCATGTAAGGACGGAGCGTCAAATGTCCGCAGTTTATCGCATAGCATATCTTGGCGAGCGTCGAGCAGCACAAGGAGAAGACTCGAATGGTTCACCGTCTCTTGCAGTATTTCACCGGTGTTCTGTGCTCATGGATGGATGGTGTTTGTCTGGCGTTGGCGTATCAGAGGTTATTTCCCTTTCCTGGTGCCTTTCCTATCTTTCCCCCTTTGTTCTTCAAGCATAGTTCGATGTGTGGGAGACAAATAACGCACTCGATGTGGTATTTCAGCAGGTGTTGGCTCTCCTCCATGAATGTAAATTTGAAGGTTGAAATAGAAGACATTTACTCATACATTTTGTTCGTCTCAGCCACAAGACGTTGACGGAGTGATTGGATCCAACGGTTCTGCAGGGAATAAAGGACGTCAGCATTTCTACAAACCAGGCCACGGGTCTTGCCGCCCAACCGGCGTCAGCCAACGGAGCCAGGTGAATAAATGCCCCATGCTAAGAGTCACGACGCCCCGGCGCCCCTCATCCAAAACAATGTTTCGAAACATGCGCGACTGCAGAAACGTAGAGAAACGGCGCCGGCCCCCAGCCGGCCCAAGCGGCCTATTTTAAACACTTTCAGCATCCTCTCGCGCCAAAATACTCCAATCCCAACGGTTGGGCGGTGTGACACAAGGCTGACACGAGGCTCTTGCCGACATCAATCCCACGTTTGGCCCCGGTGAAGAGCGCACCAATACCACGTGATGTGTTTCATGATGACGGCTGCTGGCGGTTGGCAAGGGTGGATGGCGCTTACATGGCACGGGCGGCTACGCGGCGCGGCCTCACAGCCACTCGATGTGCGTGAAAGGCACGCCGCTGTACTCCTCGCATGCAGATGGTTGGCTGAGCTGACCTGCTCTCGCGGGAGAGGTGCAGATGGGAGATGATATGGGCTGAGCATGCTGATGACGCAGCTGAGGAATGCGATGATACAGCATGGGCGGTTGCGAGGCGCTGGTGTCGCGGGGGGTGGAGTGAAGAGCCAGGAGGAGGCGGTTGATATTGTTCATCGTTGTCACCTTTATTGTTTCTGTGAGTCTGCTCTCGCCCCTCCCCATCTTCTTTTCGCCTATTATCGTTGTTTGGATATGGATGTGATGCTGGTCGTCTGCTGTGCTAGACGGTTCTAATTAGGTGAGTGCGCTCGTGACGATGCCCTTGATCCTTCACAATCGTTGCTCTTTTCTGCGCGACTAACACGCCGTAGATGCCTCGTTATAGAATGTCCAGTCCCCGATTGCTGCTGTTGTCACTCGTTTCTACAGCACTGGCCGCCGAGACATTCCATCGCAAATCCAACCTCACCGTCGCACTGGCTGATGTGGTGCCTGCCTGCGCGGAGGACTGCTTCATTTCGTTTCTTGACGCAAACTATGGCATTGCGCGGGGCGAAGAGATCCCGTCCCTCGAGGACCTCTGCTCCGCGGATGGCAACACGGGATTCACGATTGGGGAGGGCGCGGTGCAATGTATTGCCGCCGAGCAGAGGGTGGGAGCGTGCTCCGTCAAAGAAGCCAACTGTGAGTGTCAAGTTTGATACAAGACGGTTGATTATCGTGTATGAGGCTGTGCTGGGACTAACGGGGTTTGTTTTTCTTTTGAAAAAAAGCATCGGCAATGTATAAAGCATACCAAATGTGTAGCGACCAGCCCGGCGCTCTTACACCTACCCACGGTGTCATCACGGCCACGTTGGCTGTGCCGCCGTCCGGAGGAGGACCTGTATCGTATCCCGCGCCTTCGAAAACGAAAAGGCCATTTACGAGATTGCGTCCTCCTTCGACTTTGGTCATTGACACGCATTCTCCGACATTTTCGCCGTCCTGGAGCCCCGATACCACTTTGAGAACCGCTGTCGTTAGCACCACCACGGAAACTACGGCGACCAGCTCTTCTACGGCAGAGCCTGCGGCGGCTGCCTCTGGTGGTTCCATTACGCCGGTCCAAAAGGCGGGTATCGCAGTGGGCGTAATTGGCTTTGCGGCCGTTGCCATTGGGCTTTTACTATTGTTCAGGCTGTACAGGGCGAAGAAGAAGCGCGGGGGACACACACCATTGGCGAGCTCGCCCCGGAGACGAGATTCCTGGGGATACAAGTTTGACAAGGGCCGCGGGGAGAGTAGCAGTGAGCCATCATGGATGGCGAACCCAGTCCATCCGCCGAATGATTCTAATCATGGGGCATCTGCAGCCGCAATGACCGGCGCAATAGCAATAAGGGCCGAAGCAGGGGCAAGGACACAGCAACAACCGCAACCGCAGCCGCAACCACAAGCGGCGGCATCAAAATCACCACCGCCAAGGGCGTACAACCGGTCGAGCTGGCGGCCGAGCCTCATCGGTCTCGCCTTGTCGCCCTCGCACTCCAAGCACGCTGGCCGGGGCACAACAACACCGCCGCGGCCCGTGTCGAAGCTTCTCCCCGCCAAGCCGATACTCTCCTTAGATATTCCCAAGAAGCCGCCTCCGCCGCCGCCAACACATACAACCCCGCCCCCCGGATCGTCCTCCAGGAACCAGTCAACGACAACTCCATCGCCGAAATACACACGGATCGCATCCCGGCCTCCTGTTCTACCGAAGCTGCAGATCCCGCGGGGACATGACTTGCTCCACGTCCCCAAATCAACCAACAAGCCTCGCGAAAGCACAATGACCGAGTTCGAAGAGGACGGACGTGAATCATCAACCGTCTTCTCGCCGGAATCTCAAATATGGAGCACCCCTTCAGCCGCGCCCTCGTCTGCCGCTGCCACGTGTCACGTCGTTGATAGGCATGGGAACTGGATGCCCGGTGATTCGAACATTGTGCAGGCTGCAGAACTGGAGGGCACGACGCCACTGAGTGCGCACCCCAAGCTGGCTACGAGCATGGCCATCCTCCCGGTTGGGACGAACGGCCGAGGTGAACAGCCTGGCCAAGGGGCCGCGAAACGCTCCCCTCACCGCCGCTCGTCGTCCGCGCCTATGCCACCTAATCCCGCCCAGCAGTCCATAAGGGTGGTCACCGAACCGCTCACGACATTGAAGAATGGTCAGGATAATGTCGTCCCGAGGCCCTTGTTCTCTGATATGGGAGGGAATCCTCGAAACGCGTCGGCGACTGCTGCCGCGAGGCACTCCTTCGGCCGGAGCTTGACGAGACCCCGGGCCGCGTCTGGAGATAGCGGAATCACGAACATCAGTGTTTCGTCCGACGAGGAGCATGAGCTACAGCCACCCAAGAGGATGTCGCAGGCAAACTTGTCTCCGGTAGCGGAGTCGCCCCGTTCAGGAAGCGGCAAGTCCCCGGTATCGTATCCCAAGATCCCGGGGAGAGAGAATAGCCTCCACGGCAAGGGGAGATCAGCTCAGCGGCCGAGAATGCCGATTTTATACAAGTCGGCTCACCATAGGACTGCTTCCGGAGGGATAGGAAGCAGCGTTGCCATGCTGACAGTCGGATCTTTGGCTCCGAATCCAAACCCGAACACACCCAAGGAAGCGAATAATGCTGCTAGTACAATGTCGGCAATGGCTGGGCCGGCGCCGAATGGATTCAAGCCCATTATTCCTACTACCAAGGTCACTACAGCCTCGCCGCACCAGTGGGCGAGTGCGTCTCGAGGGCCACGGCCATTGCAGAACCCGGCCCTCCTTCGAACTGGCTCTCCGACGATGCGGATTGTTGAACCTTCTCCCGAGCCTGACGACGACAGGGCTATGCTGCCGTCCGCTCGACCTCGCAACGTACAGAGTGTACAGCAGTCACAGCCTCAGAGGCAACAGACTCGATTGCAGCCTTCCCCATTCCCGGCTTCGCAGCAGCGAAGTCAACAGGTGGCGACACCGGCGGTTGAGCAGCGGCAGGAGTTCCAGGCCCGATCCAAAACACCAGCACCGGTACAAACTCAACCGTATTCTCAACCCCATCAACATCCGATACAGCCTCAACTACGGCCTCGGGCTCAGCACGAAGCATGCCTGGAGTCACAACCACAGCCACAACAGCAGCAGCAGCAGCATGTACAACAAGCTCAAGCTCAGGCTCAAGCTCAAACAAACCCGGTGCGACAAAGCCAGCAACGACATATTGCTCCTTCATACCAACCTCAAGTCCATCAACACCAAATTCACCCGGAGAAAGGGTCTTTCCCACACCAGCAACACGGACAAGCAACACAACCTCACCTTCAGGTCCAACCACTCCCTTCACAACAGGAGAACCAACAACCCCCCCTATCCCAAGTCCCTCCTGTGCAAGCTCACCCAGAAAAGGGAGCTGCCCAACTGCAAAAAGAACAACCACCTCAACGAGACACTCGGCCACAACCGCCACCGAGAGACAACAACCCACGACAAGAGAAGACGCAACTACAACAACCCTCAAGACAACAAACCCAAAGGCCAGACGCTCCCAACTGGATCCCCGGCCTGCCCGCACATCCTCACCCCCTCCGCCGCCCCCAGCACACAAGCACACTCTGGCTACCGCCGCAAGCCCGCAAGCGCAACTCCCGCAGGAAGAGGAAGACGATCGAGACAGAGCCAGACCATCACGGGCAGTCTCCCATGCGGCCTCTGCGGCGACAACCCGCGCACCCGCCGCCGCAATCGCAATTCCAAGCCCGGCAGTCCTTCCAAACCGCCCCGTCCCAACCACAGCAGAACCAACAACAACAACAACAACACCCTGCAATTCCACCGTCCAGAGCCCGCCAGCCCATCCCCCAACACCAACAACCACAAGACCAAACGGCAGCAAGTCCAAGCCAACAACAGGTGTACACCCACCGGCCCCAGCAATACGCCTGCCCATACCCTGACCCACGGCCCTGTCCAAACCAGGGCCCAAGACATCAATATCCCCCTTCCTACCCTCGCCAACAACAACCACAAGGCCAACCTCGACCACACTTCCAGCAACCTCCACAAGAACAGAACTTCCAGCAGCAGCAGCAGCAGCAGCAGCAGCAACCCCAGGTCTCCATCGTCGCCAAGCGACTCGGACACGATCGGGCCGTCAACATGTCCATATCAACGGACTGCACCTCCTCGGCGAGCAGTTCGAATAACCGGCACCGCGCCAGCGGCGGGCCCATGTATTTATCTCCAGAGGTCATCACCCCTCGCGGGTCTTCGGGGGACTTGCCTTCGACGCCGACGTGGCTGCCTAGGCTGACGCCCACGAGGCGAGGTGCTGATTTGTACCTCAACGTTCAGTAAAGCGGACAAGCATGACAATTTTTTTTTTCTTTTTTTTGCATTTTCGTTTCCCACGCATAACTAGCAAGTTCGCATTGTAAAACAGACTTTCCTTAATGTCGGCATTTAAAAATGTGAGAGGAGCGTTTGATTCAGACATAAAAAGAGAAGCAAGAGCATTTGGCGCAAATTAGGCGTCTCTTATTTGGATGGCATAGGTTCTTGTATGATACTATCAAAGAGGAGTATAGGACCGATAATGGAAATTGGTTATCCCGTGCACTCAATCTGTACCTCACTGTTTCTCTTCACAAAGTCTTTGACCTCATTACCCAACTCAACGCTTTCCTCGCCGCCTCCTGTTGCCATCGATTCCTTCATCCGAGGTCCGGCTCAGCGCACACTCTCGCCTGCCACGCTTTCCCTGGTCCTCCAAGGTTCTCATCTCTATTTGATGACCGGCGTCGCTGCTCTCGTCTGTACGACACAACCTTCTTGCACTCCGTTTTTTTCCGTGCCAGAGTTCATGTGCGTCCTTTCTGAAGTCGCTCAGTTGGTCATCCAAAGCATCCATTCCTTGGTCCCATGCTTCTCTGTTGAGATGAGCACCAGCGTCAATCAACTTATTCTTCTTCCGGATCTCCTGCCAACGGGTCATGCTACCGAGCTCAAAAATATTCATACGGCGTTTTTTGCTAGTTGGGTTTCCAATCATAGCCGGCCGCCACGCCCTCTCCTCATCAAGTATCGCTTGTGAGTTATGAGGCATGGAGACTCGTCTAATGGTCGAACGTCGACGGGCTTCTACCAATCTATCCATTTCTTGTGACTTGGATTTCGGGACGATTTGAACTTCAGTAAAGCGAAGAAGAACGACAAGCAACAAAACAGTCAATATGAGCAGGATCCCCGCTACCACGCCTGTAGAAACTTGCTGCCCTAGTGTTCTGGTCACATGGCCGCCCAGAGCGGTAGAACCAGCAGCTAAGAAGAATGCTAGGGAATGTATAGACGCAAATCCTGCCGAGACACGTGGGAACGATGAGTAATTGGTTCTCTTCTGATTTCTGCCGGAACCGCCTCTTTGGCGTCCAGTCATTCCTGGAGATAAATCAGAGCAATCAAAAGCCTCCATGACCAACCCATTACATTCTGAGATGGCAAGACTGGAAAAGAATCCAACAAATCCTGAAAAGGTTGTCGGTATGCTGACGTGTATTGGTGGTCCCGACGATACGACTGCATAACAAATTCCAGCTACAGGCAAGAGAAGTGTAAAGACAGTCCGACGAACCAGGTGAGATGACCAAGCGACTTTTCTGTCCAGTGTGGCTAAATTGCTGTTCAACTGAGCTTGACGAGACCGCGAGAATAAATTGGCTTTTTGGAATGGTATTGCAAGAAGTGCACCCAACGCCATGCATCCAACGAATAAACTAACTTCAGTGGGCTGCATGTGATAAAACCGGGAAACAAGTGATCCCAAAAGGATGACAATCAAGACCGCCTGAGCGTAAATCCAGGCAGAGTACACTGTCAGGACCGCAAATCCTGGCTGGCGTAGCATTTCACAGCTAAGTGCGATGCCATGATACACCTCCTGTCCCCACCATTTGGGGCCCGTCTTCACTCGATGCATCATGATTTCGCCGCGAGCTACTCGCCGCGAGATGTCTTCTCCAGTTCGGACTTCAGCCACGGAACGTCGATACGCTGATCGGCGAACCTCGGGACAGACAACGTTGAGAAAAAGCACAATGGCAATAATGATGATGCTGACATAGAACCCCCAAGCTGGAGGGTAATTGTCGATAATGCCGGCACCAACTAGAAACCCAAGTCCCAGGGACCCAATCCAACACCAAGTCCAGATGCCTAACCATACACCCATGCCTCCGCCATGCCGCCGGGCATCAAAGTCATCGACGACTTCCTGATGAGGGTTGCAGCTCATGAGAGAGGCTCCAAACAAGTCGGTCAGGATGGAGTGAAAGTTCATACTCGCAAACCCAAGAGAGGCTCCCATGAGCGTCCTGCTGGCCAGTAAAGCGCATCTCCATGAAATAGCATTTCTGAGCCTCTGAGCATTGACGGCAAGGGCTTGAGGAAATAAAAGGGGCATAGCTAAGACCAAGCTGGAAAGAATATACGGCTTTCGTCCATGCAACAAAGGCAATGGCCAGAGGAAAAATGTTGGCAGGGCTAGGCCGAGGAAGCAGCCGGTGTTCCCATGGACTATTACATGAGACTGGTCAATGACATAGTATTGAATAGAAGGAACCAAACCGGAATATATTCCCAATATAATCCCAATTAGTCCCGTGCTTATGCATGCCACGGATGCGACAAATCGCTTTCGAAGAGGTGACTAGTCTCGAGCAATGGGTTGCCGCCTATGTGACTTTGCAAGACTAAATCCTTGAGCTCCTCTTAGGCTGACGTGCGATCGCCGGCGAAGAATAATACCATGCTCTGTGTGTAAAGGTCTACCAGCAATATCCCGCTCGGGAAGAATGTCTTCGCCAGCAGCTAGCTCTCGGTGTGTTGGATGAGGATGACTTGCATGGGCATGATCCGGCTTCGTGGTTCCGTTGCCGGGTCGTGTTTCTTCAGACGGCTTTTCGAGATCTGCCGTGAATTCCCTTGCTTGATTTGTCTCAAGTTTTTGAATAGCTCGAGATATTTCTTGGGTTCCGTTTTTGAGTTGCCCTGCGAAAACTGTGTTCAATTCCTTGCCGGACTTTCTACGGGGAATTTTCAATGCAACTCTCTGTCCAAGGCCCTGAACGATTTCCTGGCTAATCCCCCCCTCGTAAGGGTGAGTTTTAAGCAACTCGTGGGGTCCTGAGTGTAGTTGGGCGTTGGGTGATCTTCCGGTATGACATTGGACCGTCTCGTATTCAGCGACTGCCGGACCTAAATCGCCACCACTCCCATCCACACTTGGTGAAGCAAATGTAGCTCGAGAACCGTTGCCTTTTGCCACTCGGTTTCCAGTGCCTTGATATTGAGAACGACCGCTTATGGATTGCTGCTTATATGCATCTTGTTCCCCAGTGGCAGCTGGGTGATCGACAACCTGCATTGCAATTGCCAATGCCTCGTTGAGGAGCTTCTCTAGGTCGCTAACTGCACGTTTAAACCCAATGCGGTCAATCCTTGGCAATTGGTTTTCAGGCGGTACGGAAAACCTGCCTTGCGATTTTGAGGAGGTAGTGCAAGACCGTATTGCCTTTAGTTCAGGCAATGTATTAGACTTTTGAGTATTTTGACCAGGCCGCCTTGTGTACTTTGGTGAATACGTTGGGGGATATCTCAATACATCCTTCAGCCATTGGGTTGTGCGCTTATAATCGAACATGGAGGTTGCAGTCTGGGCGTGACCCGAAGAGCCGTGTGAACCTGGGGCCTGAGTCTGCTGATCTTTGCCTTGAGAGCGATCATCCGAGTCCGTCATAAAATAGGACCTTCCATTCTGACTACTTTGCCGCAGAAATTCCACGCTTGGTCCGACTTTGGAGATAGAACTGTGTCCATGGTGTTGGAGATTGCTCGCGATTTCCCTCTGGAAAGCAGGACGGATCTTGGAGACGGGTATTGGGGCATGAAGTATGTGAGAATGTGATTCAGGAGTTGCATGTCTTCCAGCAAATGAACCAAACTTCCTAGCCTTTGTCACATGTTCTTCCAGCTGTGCATTTGAGGAAGGGTATTTAGGGCCAATCGCCTTGTCCAATGTTTCCCAGTTTATTTCGGACAATTGCAACTTGAACGTTCGGGAAGGCGCGTCATTGGTACTTTCCGGTGCTTCGCAATGTGACGGACCGCCATCATTAGAAGACCCAGGCCTTCTATCCAAGGAATTGAGCGCCTTATCGGTGGTGAAACATAAGTTGTATGATGTGGGACAATCTTCTATTGAGTGATCACCACTTGCCGGAGGCGCAATGTTTCTCGCTGAGGATGAGTGATGGTGGCCCTTATGCGACCCAACAGTACTGAACGAGTCGTCTCTGCACAAAACCTCGTTGACAATAGAGTCAAACCGGGGCTCAGTAGCGGGTTGAACTTTTGGGCCGAAAGTTGGGTAGTTCACGGTTCGCATGTCCAGGTTTGGCTCCAAGGCGAATGGACGAACCTTGGATACCGGTATTGGTAAGTCAATGTAGAGAATGTCGGCTATTTCCCCTGAAACTTTCTCCGCTATTTGACCAGATAAATCCTTGCCCTCGACTTCAAAGAGTCTATTGACCTTACCGACCTCTAGACGACTAGAGTATCCATTTTCATTGTCCGCAGTGGTGTGTGAATCCCCTGCAGAGTTGTCCTGGGGCGACATTTCCCGAATGTTATTGAAAGAATCAGTTGTCGATTGCTGGGATACCAGGTTGTCATCCGGAGAATGCCCCATGCATACCTTCTTCTCCGCTGGGTCTAATGAAGTAACGGGTTGGTGACTTTGCTTCAAATTTAGCCCCTAGCTATCTCCGTGTGCGACAGATTGATGTGTTGGACAATTTTCTTCCGCTGGTCGAACTTTAGAAACGAAACTATGCCCAGGGTGTTCTGCCATAAGTCTGGACTCATGTGGAGAATGGGAAACGATTTCGGGTGATTGGATCACACCATCTCCTGCCGCTATAGCTTCGAAGTCTGGTGCTGAATTAGCCATCGATGGAGAGGATGTCGGTTTGAGGACCTGGCTAGGTCGGTGATGTTTGACTAACCCGACAATTAGCATAACACAAGAACCCATCTTTAGCAAGTAGACGATACTAACTTCGAAGTAAAGAACTCGATGTCAATGGCTCAGGCTCTTCCGTCCAATGAACCTTGTCATCCACAGGCCCACAGGTTCTCCGTAGAGGATCTTTGACTTTGTCTTGTACTGTGACTCTTTGGTTTTTAGTCCCTAACTGTGAGACTCTTGTGGGCACCAGCGTTGCTATTGTATTGCGTACGGCACAACTCTTTTGATGAGTAGCCTGAAGCGCTCGGCTGGTGACTGATTGACTACTTTTCTCAGCAGGACCTGGAACTCGGCTATGGGTAGTAGTCGCGGCTTTTATATCAATGATACAGAGTTGCCTCTCCTCGCCACTAGCGAGCGACAGCGAAGGTCGACTACTCGGGGGTGGTGTTTCGTCAAAATCGCCCGTGTCCCCAGGCGTGTCCTCGTAGGGCTCATAGGCATGTGGATGGCCGAGAAGCGCAGGGAACATCCCGAGGAGCCCTGTTGCCGCAAATACAATGCTGAAAAATAGACACTGAAGCCGTAGAGTCGCAGTTTAATGGGGACCAGGCGAACTTGTTGACTCGGAAAATGTGGTGTAATTTTGCCTGTGAGGAGGGAGAGAAGCACGTCCGATACAATAGATGCATATACAGTAAGGTTGCCGTCAGGGTTTGATAAGATACTGAACTAAATTGGACAGATAAGAATGATGCTGGAGTATATTAAATCCGTAGCAAGGAATCTAAGCAGGGCAAAGGTACGGAAAGAGGCGCCAAAAGGGAGGCGAGGAAAAGAGAGGATGAAGATGGCGGCGGTTCGGTAAGGGGACGGTTGGGATGAAGTGAATGATGGAGTAAGACGAGCCTCTACAAGGTTCGCTTCGGATGTTGTAATATTTACCAATGCGACGCGATGCGGCCAGCCTTGATTGTGTTGCACCTGCGTGTTCTGTCGACCTCGGAAGCGAATCAAGACTGTAAAATATGAAGGCACGCGAAGGCGCAAGGTGCCTTCTACGACTTTCAAGGCTGCTGCCAGTAACAGAGCTTCAATGCCCTTTCGCGCGTTACTGGAGGTCGCATTACCCGCACGAGCGGAAGGAGCGACGCCTTCGCACACTTTCTTGATTTTGAAAAGTGACTGGCAGAACTTGAGCTGAGCAAACCGTCCACACGCCCTAACAGGTACACATCTACATTCCGTCCCCCTCACAGAAAAAATTGAAGATTCGAACTGGATCTACTAACCGGTCGGCCCACGCTGGGCCAGGACATGCATCATCACTCCAATCCCTGAACCCTGGCGCCTCATGCTGCAATATCTGGCGGATCAATTCAACCACCTACCTAATAGGTGAGCAAACTCCCGACTGTCAACTTTCAACATCGGACGATTCAGCCCAGCACACGCGAACACGACGCACGTCCCAGCATCAGTCCCCGACACGGCCTCATCCCTGGTACATTACCAGACCCGGGCGGAGGGCGCCAAGCGGCTATTTTCCCTCTCTTCCCTTTCCCGCCGTCCGCGAAACCACAGGGCGTCGCGGGCGCGACGTACCTGTCGCTAGCGAGTAGCGCGCCGGTGAATCCAACAAATCAGGTCCCGTGCTGACCCTCCTCTCTGCTCGGCACTCGAGCAAAATACCTAGGGTACGTAGCAGGAGGCATAGACTAGGACATGCCAACATCCAGGCCGCCCAATCAGGCAAACTGTCCAGCACGTGCTTAGTAGTTAGTCATGTGTATCATACGGCCGGAGCTATTTTTGGTTCCCCCGAATTGCGCAGCGAACCACCCCAAAGCTCGGAGAGTTGTACGAAGAGAAGCGCGGTACATGCTTTTTGGAGGAGCCCAGGAACTCGGGTTGCTCCAGGGGTCTGGATCCTTTTGTTTTGCGACTGTCATATAATTCTTAGATCTGAGTTGGATCTGAAACACGGCCACTTGAGTGCTTACTTCCGTTAACCGGATCTGTATGTCTATACATGTGTTCGAGAAAGTTTACAATGAATTGAGAAATCCCCAATTGCGACAATTATTGCCGGTGCACCTTGTCACAAGCCTGGAACCTCAAATTAAGAGAGACGTCAACTCCTTTTATTTAGTTGGTTATTGATATACGGCAGCCAGCGCCACGTACCCCATGTGCTAATTTGTATCTGTGACGATTCCAGACCGCCACGCCGTGGTTTCTGTGTCCAGCACAGAGGTATCAACATGATGGGATCATCGTCCTGACATGTTTGCAATAACAAAAAGAGAGTGGCAAAGCCAAGAACAAAAGAAAGAGGAGAGAAAAAAAACGCTTCATCAGAACACCCCCCGGAAAAAAAAAAAAGGAAAACCCAAAAGGAACAGAGAAGTGAGGCAGCCACAAGCCACCCAATTTCCATCGCTACGGGTCAACTCCCAATCTTGCAAAAGGGACAAGTCCATCCGTAGCTCACGGGCACTGAGTGAGCCCTGACCAACAAAACATTACCGTATGTCGTAAGCATCCAAACGCCGCCATATTTCCCACATTTTTTTTGCCCCAAGTACATCATCACGTATCCGCAAGCCAACACACCCGTGAGGCAGTGCGCCATGAATACGAGAAATCTAGGCCCAAGTCTTGTCAAAATGTCACTCAGCTGAGGTATATCAACTGAGACCTGACAGTCTAAGTGTCGTAAACGAGAGTCTTGTTTACCAGCCCCATGTCAACCAAGTCTCATCAACAGCGTCACATGGTCTAAGCTGGAAAAGAAAACGAGTGATAGCTCGGGTGCGGAGTGGGGTATCTCACGCAGAGAAAACAGAAACATAACAGAGAAAATATGAAATGCAAACGCTCCAGGAAAGAGCAAAAAGCGGATGACCAAACAGAGTTCAAACGGGACCAACTGCCCGTGCCAAACGTAATCCAGGACCTGACAGAGTGGTGTATTGTTACATCAGTTCAAAGTTGAACCGCGCGGCGGAGATTGCAAGAGAATCGAAAGGTCATAATGTCATATCCGTGTCTTCGATAAGGTTGTTGCGTAGCTCATGACATAGTCGAGAAAGATGCGAGAAAAACAGGTGAAGAGTTGCGGGTACAAAGTCTTGACGTAGCGAGTCACAGCAGCACATGGTCCGTTGAAATCGAGGCCCTGGGTCGGCCGTGGCCAGCAAGCAACGAAGTGAGTCCAGACGGATTGGATGAGTATAGGTATCTCACCCAATCTTGAAACTCAAACAACTCCAGCCTGGTGAAATGCCATGCCTGGCAACCCGTCACCGAAGACAAAACATTTCACCGGTGGCTCTTATGGCTGGACCGAGAGCTATAGTAGCCTGAGTCAGAATAGGTGTGTGGTGACGCATATTGGGCGCCTTGACTTGAGTGTGCGCTGCAGGCATAGCCGACATAGATTGTGCGCTGTTGAATGTCGTGGCCAGGTCTACCATAGGCTGCACATCGATCAATTGCATGTTGGTAGTAGAGACACCGACATGCTGAGTATAACTCGACGAGTTGGTAGCACATATCTAATCTAATGCGCAGATATAGTTTCAAACGGATTCGCAGTTCCTGCCTGCGCGGATTGCTTTAAGGCTGCGCCAAAGGCCAGCCGAGGTCTGATTATCGGTCCAACAAGAATGAATTGTAATTGTATCCCTATCTTGATATAGCAGGAAGAAGCTCTCCAACTTAATCTTGTCGGTAAAGGTGCCAGATGTGTGAGTTGCGGGTTGATGTCGAGCCCTTGTGTAGGCAGAGCGATGGGATTCGAAACAAGAAAGACGACACGATATTGTATAAAGGAAACAAAGACAGGAAAGAAAATGGGTTGAAGAGAGCGTCGTGTGCTATGACGAATATAGATAGAGACAGGCCAAGGCAGGAAACGACGAGGCATCGTCGCCTTATAGGCATGGCAGCCTAGAGGAAGGCCGGGTTTGGAGTCCATGTGTAAAAGGGAAAGAAGCCCATGAGGCGTCAACTCGGCTTTGGCACATATCGGCACGCCCTCCCAAACTGGATGGATGGGCGGAGGCTCTCACCAAGTTCACACCTCTCTCTCCTCTCGCATACACACCTCGGGACAAGCTTGAAAGTGCGAGAGAACGGGGAGCAGCAAGGCATCAGCCAAGCCGCAATTGAAGATGGAGACAGCTCTGACTAACCTGACGGGTGACTAAAGTGTGGACGACGGTCTAGTGCAGCCGTGCTGTGGCAAGGCAAGGCCAGCGTAGGCAGAGGGCGAATCGACGCTGGCGAAGCTCATGGCAAGGTCCTAGGCGCAGCACCGGACCAAGCTCGAGCAAAGACCCAGAGGAGCCCGGTATGGCTCGGCGGAAGAGTCACTTGCCCAGGCTGTTTGGCGAGGGGGGTGTGTGCTCAAGTGCGATGAGTGAAGGTCCAATGTTGCGGGTACGTCCAGCGTTGATTGCGTCTGATTGCGTGGGTACAGTTGACCTCGCTGTAGCCGGAGTTGGGGGTCGCTTTTGCGGACCAGACCATTTCGATGGGAACGGGCGCCAGTGGAGAGCCGGGGCCTGCAACTGCCTTGCGAATGCCTGCAATGGACAGACCTAGGACCAAAACTCGACGACACAGAATTGACCTGCAGCAGGGCTGAACCGGCCATATTCAGTCGAACGTATATTATTATCTGGCTTTCATGGGAAATAAAGCGGTCAGTCAAGTGGAAGACTTAGATTTTTGCCCAAGATACACTTGGCTCAAAATCCGCGGGTCCAGCAAGCCTCGGAAGACGGCAGGCACTTTGTCGTTGTTGGTTGAATCATGTGCGCGTTTGCTTTGTCAGACTTGGATGTAAAGTTCTTGATGTCAGGCCGATGATTATGGTGATGATTACTAGTATCTCCATCGGCAAGGCTCTTCGATGGATTTCGATGCTATGTTCAATGCCGTTTCCAACTGACAAATGTCTGAAGGCAAGGGCGTCCTGTCTCCACCCGGCTTTGGCAGCCTATTCCGGAGCGGAGGGAACTAACCAGGGCACCGTGTAACTATAAGCTTAGTACACCCGCAGACCCAGAGGGCGCAGGAGCAGGCGCAACCGAAGCTACGTAGTTGCCCTATTGTGCTTCCAGATGTCCATAATATTCGTCAATGTCATGGTTCATTCTTCTTCTTCTGTCCTTGTCTTCGTCTACTACTGTATGTAGTACTGTCCGACTTTAAGCCGCCAGACTGGTACTCCGTACGGGCGGTAGCTTCAGCAATCCGTCTCTCCGTTGCTCTGACTCTCGTACTTGTAAGCCATCCTTTATACGCCCCTCTCGTCCACCCGTCCCGGTTCGTGTGCGACCCGATGAATGCGATGCAACGCACAACTCCGACCTTCGCACGTGGGCTGTTGATGCAGGTGGGTGAGCAGGCAGGCAGGCACCACACTATTATTTCGCAAACCCATTGCTCCCGTCTCGCCGCAGGTCATGGCAAAGATCATATTTGATGACCACAGGTCGTAGGTAGTCAAGCAGCGATGACGACATGCGGTGCCCGTCAGGGCCACAGTCAGGGCCACAGCCCAGCCTCACACAAAGCCTCAATCCACCGCCCGCCCGAGTCCATACTAGGCCTCAAGTGCACCATGCCCATCCATGGGCGATGCGCAGCATGGGTTCACACACACTCTTCCACCTTGTTCCCAACCATCATTTGAAAAATGGAACACGCCAGCAAGAAAGAAAGAAAATAATCATCATCATTTGGCGAGGCATCTATTTTGGCTATCCGTCGGCGATTGATGCCCACGGTTTTGTATACTGCTGACGATACAAGCGATACAAGACTGCATCGAAGCCTGCCACCGACAACAACTCCAACACATTTTCAGTAGTATCCCTGCTCTCCGCGGAACCCGGCCCATTATCGCAAGCTCTGGCATCCTCAGCTCACTGGAGATGCCTATATGCGGCTAAAGTGTCGAAAAGATGTCCACCTTGTAACACAGACTAGCGTCAAAGACGATACAATGAGGCACTTGGAAATTACAAGCAGACTAGCCGGGTGTTCTGGCCAACGCCATACGGTCTCGAAAATCAGTCCGCTGTCAAGCAAACAATCTTTTTTGCAATTCCTGCAAATGCCTAGAATCACCTTACCAATAGGTTAGTTGGTGGCTGCATAGTGACTGTGGACGCACCGTGCACCATCAACACCCTCAACCCTGTACCACTTCGTTAGGTGATGTCTATTGTGGTATTATGCCGTGTGTGTCCTTGGGAATGGTCTCGGCGTGATATGTGTCCTGCAGACCAAGAACAAAGCTACACATAAATGATTGCTGTGGGCTATTAGGCCCCTCCGCTTTACGGCTTACATTAATCATTGCCTGCATTTGGAGCATTTTGGTATGAGGTCAGAGTCCTATTTGCAAATTCGGGAAGGGAACTAAATCTCAAGATGAAGCAGATGCCCGATCTCTCACTTCACACACTCTCTCTCTTTTTTTCTTTTTTTTCCCTTGGCTTTGCCAATAAAGGATATCAACGCACTTCAACACAGCCATTGCACAGATGAAGTGAGTCAAGTCATCCGAGACATGTAGGACTCATCGGGGGACTGACACAATGCTCCAGCCTTTTCATCGCTCACGTGTGAGCAACAATCTCCATCCAAGGAAGAGTCTTTGGCTGGGGTATTACGAACCAGGCAATTGAGCGACATGTGCGGCGTTGGCAACGGGGGCACGGAATCGAAAGCAACAGCTTACCGGCATTGTCTAGACGTCTGGTATTACGGAATCGGCCGTTTCTGACGGGTAGTCACAACTCCTGCCTACCACTCATAGGACGAAACCGCATTGGACGAATATTTCAAGGCTAGATCCTAATCCTGGCCAGCGCCGTGTTTGGCGCAGACCCAAGAGCTCGGACCCGGTGCCATGTGGCCCTTGTAACGAAACCACGATGTTGGGGCCCTTTTCAATTCGTCAATTCGTCAGAAATGTGAATTTTGTAGGGAGATGAAATTGGGACCATGGAAAAGAAGTCGGCCTATGAAGATTACATTTTCCAGGCTCGATTATTACGCCTCTTGCAATATTATCAAACAGCCGGGCAAAAAGTGAAAGAGGCTATGATGCACAATCCAGTGACGGATACGCGGCAATACGACTCAAATGACGACTGCATGAATCGCCGAGCCCGCAAGATCCAGTCGACGTTTAATTCCGCCTTGTTCAGCTTGGGGTCTTGATTCGCCCTCGTATTGGGACCCAAGCGGACAAGTTGGGATTCGATCTAGCGATGGCTAGCGATGGCGGTATACAAAATCTCGGAGCCAGCATTGCTGTGTCTGTTGAGAGCAGAATAATCATAAACGATGGCAAGATTCGGGCGTCTAGCTCCTGAAGAAACGGCATCTGCAAGTCTGACTTTCAGACCACCCCGGGACCCATGGTCCGGCTCATGACCTCATGGGTCACTCGTGGCTCATGGCCCTGCCAACAGCTTCAGCCTCGTCGTGTCCCACTGCGGGCCATGTACAATTTTCGCAGAAAATGGCCATCCATCAACGGGTGGGCTGCACATCGCCCCGTGGCTTGCTGGGGATACTGTCCAGGTTGGGCCCTCTTCGTTTCTGCTTTGGCATGTATGTAGAAACGAGTTGTCTGGTCCGACGACTTCCCAGAATCGCAGACCGCATCAACCGGGGGACCCACTCTCCGCCCGCCAGCCGCATCCGCGCCGGAGTCGCCGGTGCGGTTGCGTCAAATGGTTCGTGGCACAAAGTTGTGAATGCTGCATTGGCGGTCCTAAGTCGTCACCACATACGGAGTACATGGTCTCACATTCTTCTTCTACGCATTTACAGTTGGCCTTTTGTTTTTTTTCCCCGTTCAAGGCCGGCCCCCGACCCAAGCAAGGGTCTTGCTCTGCAAATAGCTCATTTTCACCGTCCAAGGAAGCCGTTGTGTCTCTTTGCCGAGCGTCTACGGACCACGGACTACGGGCCAATGTTCCGAAACCATGTGATGCCTCCAGAAGCGACGGATTGCATTTGCCTTTCTCACCAGCCTCACCAGCCTCACCATGTCCATGTCGATCAAGCAAGCCCATCTTCCAATTCGGGCACATGTCCGGCCGTTTCTATTTTTTTTTAATCGTTCTTAACATACGGAGTACAATTCATGTATATCCCTGACCCATCCCGCTGGAGACACACCCCCTCCTCCTTGAAGCCGGCTTGTATCTGGTTCATGCTCGTTCATTGTCAAGCCCCGGGTCAACTAAATCCCCAGACTACGCAAGAGCACACGCTTCCTCCCACCCATCTTCTTCCGAGCGGAGTTGTCCGGCCGTGCTTGAATCTGAGACACGCCTCCCGGCATGTCACGGTTTGAGAAAATCATACCGAGTACAGAATAGTGCCAACGTGGTTTCATCCGAATTGTCCAGCATGGCTCATCTCATCGTGTTCTGTGCATCGTTGCCTAGCTAGGGACTCACACCTCGTTGCGCCCGAAGTCTGACGCACAATTGCCCAGGTTAAAGTTGCCGCGTCAAATTCTCAATTGCCATTTTTTCTCTGTTCCACTGCCGCTTGCCAAGCTTCTTCTTCTTCTTCTTCTTCCTTTTTTTTTTCTTTTTCTGCAGAGACAAACATAGAAACAAACACGGGGGCCCATTCTGCGGCCTCCGATCGATTCCCACAGCCCTACGGCATGAAACCATATTGCAAGCACGTATTGCACCTGTGGAGAGACTTGCAAGGCTGACTACATGCCCGGTCGTTACGCGCTCCACCGAATTGCCTCGGCCCTTTTCACCTGCGTCTATCTCACCTATCTCTTCGCCTAGCTGTTCTACCCGTGGTGCTCTGTACAATGCGGTCCATTATCGTAGGACGCCCTAAGCGCCGTTGTGGCTGAACGGTCCAGATGTCTCCCATCGACAGTCTCCTACCTCTTAGCTCCCGCTACTTGACCTCTTGCATCTGCTCGCCAGCCACCATTGACCGTGGCTCCAATAGTGACATGCACGACGTCTCAACAGTTCCACTCCTAATATGCCAGATACCTGGGTATGGAGGCCTCAAGTATTCTTTGCTTCTGTGGTGGCGTCACATATTTCCTGTTTTCTCCATGCTTCTTTCTTGCTAGTTTCTTTTTCTCTTTCTTTTCATTATGTGCAGAGTGTATCCTTCCCAGTCTCTAACCCGCAACCCGCATGTCCTAGCCTGCCTGCCCATCTACTTGCGCGGGTCACCAATGACTCAAGAGTCCAGAGAAGAAAGAGCAAGACAACAACACTCTTTCCGCCCACCAGCGAACATGACCTTTGTCATTAAATCACCCAACCGCCAAACCATCCATTTCAATACCTTCATGAATAGTATACATGTCGTTGAGAAGTAATGAAGAAATAAAAGTAAAACATGGGCTTCTCCTAGCATGTCCCAGTAACACGCATTTTCATAATATGCCGTCGCTCTGCGCATATGCCTTGTGCCAGCGTTGGATGGAGATTTTGAATGTTAACATTATCATGATTCCATCCTGCCTGCCTGCCTGCCTCCGTTCGTCCGTGGTATATATTGAAATGAAATGATAAACGAAAAAGGGAATCAAATACAATACGAAACCGAACTAAAATCGCTTCGAAAATATGCCTCTAGCAATCAATGCATGCTGAATTGTCATTTGGCAACGAGTCTCCAAGTTTTGTTCTTGAACCATGGAAAGTCTGAACTAGAAAGTCAAATGTCTTTGGTCAAAGTAAACGATTAGTAGCAAGGCTCCCTAGAGTATTACCGTGTATTACGGGAGGGAAAAAGTCCGTCATACTGTAGCATTGCAAATCGTTATACTCGTCGGCTCATTGCGGCCGACGCACCAGCTGCTGCAAGGTCCTGTTTGCCACTAGCAGTTCGACCAGCGGCACGAGGTAGACTGCTGATACTGCTAATGGAACCGCCCGCACTGGTTCGTCTGTTGATGCTAGCAGCGGTAGCAGCTGTAGCCCCGGAGGTTCTTCTTGAAGTGCCAGATACCGGCTTGTGGGGGCTAATGCCAGTCCGCATGGAACCGCCAACTCCTTTAACGATAGAAGCTGGAGGGTCGGGTAGGGGGCGAGGGGCCGAAAGGGGATTGACTCGTTTCGACGGCGACGATTCCCTGGCTGGCGGCCTTGGGATGATGACTGGTACTTTCTGACCCGTGATGAATTCATGCCGAACGGCGTCCTCGGGTCTCAGTCGCCTCTCAGGATCCCATCGCAGGCAACGAGCAATGAAGTCCAAGAAAGCTTCGTCGTCGCATTTCAACACCTGCTGCAGGGTCTTTGACGACGGACGACGACGTCGGCCTTTCGACGATACAGTCAACCGCGGTTTCCCCATAGAGTCGAAGAATAGTTTCTTTCTCGTGCTCTTCTCGATCAAATGCTTCTCGGGGGGTCCAAACACCTCCATAATACATGCCAGCTGCTCTTGCTCATTCTCACCAGGGAAAATGGGAACCCCTGTGTAAAGTTCGGCCAGAATACAACCTACACTCCACATATCGATGGGCATGCCATATGTCATACCTAGAATGACTTCTGGGGATCGATAAAATCTTGACTGGATATACGTGTATACCTTCTCATGCTCGAAACAACTTGATCCAAAGTCGATCACCTTGATTTCCGAGTGCAAAGGATGCTTCAGAAGAATATTTTCGGGTTTCAAGTCGCAATGAATGACCTTACGCTGCTTAAGCAGAACTAGAGAGCTCAGGATCTGCTTCGTGAATCGCCTAATAATTCTCAAAGAGAACCCACGAAAAGAATGTGCCTTAATAAACTCGTAAAGGTTCATATCCAGGAGTTCCGTCGAGATACAAAGGTGGCCGCGGAAATAGAAACTCTGCGTGAAATTGACCATGCTGTGTTTATTCTTGGGATCCTGCTGTCCTGTTAGCGAATTATGGCATTGGGCCATGGTTTAAGACTGCTGAAGACTTACCCATTCGCGAAGCTTTTGAAGAATATTGACCTCGACAAGAGCTTGCTGATGGAACCTTTTCTTGTTCCTAATGATTTTGATGGCAACAAGAACCCCAAGTTTGTGGTCAATACACCGAACAACCTGTCCAAAGCTTCCCTTTCCAAGAATATCCACAATCTCATATCTGTACGCAAGGTGATCACCTGGGATAATAGTGTAATCACCGCGTTCGTCATCATAGCCAAAATTTGGAGTGTCTGACTGCAAGTTTCCCACAACTTTCCGGGCATTTTGGGTTCCACAAAAGTATACGTCGTTGTAGTCAATAATTTCGCCTCGTTCATATATATTGAGCATAGCAATCCGTATGGCATCCTGAGACCCCACACGCTCCTTTGGCGTTGCCCTCTTCTTCAAGGCGTCCAATGCCCTGCCAGCAATCTCGGTTTCCTTTCGTCGAGATCCTAGCTTGCGCATTTCTTCTTCAGCAGCAATATCGTCTTTATCGGGGTCCGTAGTCCAAGAACCAACAGTCCGGAGTGCATTAACGGATGACTTGGGCTTGACCATCTTATTCGATACGCCACTAGCGCTTCTGGTCGAAGGCACAGCAATGGGGTCAAGTCCTTCTTGATGAGCGTGCCATGTATCGCTCTTGATGCGACTGGGGGCCCCGTAATTCGTTAAACTTGCTGCCGAGCTCTTCCGTCTTCTGATATCAGCATTAGCTCCATGAGAATTCGTGTTTACGATGGGACTAGGATTGGGCTGTTTGAGACCGGAGTAACCGCCCACCGCAGCAGATGATGAGACAGGAATCCGGGGAGGCGGCATGCCATCTGATTTTGGCGGCTGCTGCGTGCCAGATTTATCAGCCGTGTCAACAGAACCGGACTTGGAGTTGCTTCGCTTCCACGACAAGCTAAGCTTTCTCCGAAGGGATGTCTTGGAGGAGGGACTTTGAGGTCCTTGAGTCTCTGCAGTATCTGGTGGAGACTGCGGGATAGGCTTAGCCTTGTTCAGTTCTCGAGGGCCAGAAGGCTTTCGTTCGGCACTGGGCTCCAAAAAAGCTCCTGTAATGGTGGCACAATCCCCTCCAGTCTTGGACCTCTCCAGGTGCCCAGCCTCAAAGCCTCCTTTAGGCAAAGACGACGATAGAAAGGGGGAGATGCTCGACTTGTGGATCGGCTCAATCAAGCTAGGGGACGAATCTGAAGAGATGCCATCAGGGGGGGTCTGCGTAACTCGGCGGATATGATGAGCGGAGGTACTGCTCCTAAGAGAGGGAAGTTCCAACGTTTCGTCATACCGACTCTTGGAGAAGAATGAACTCTTCGATGCCGTTATAGGTGTTGTAGGAGTCTTGGGAACTTGTCGTGAAGGTGGTGGGCTGAGATCTCGATGAGAAGAAGTTTGACCATTGACTTTGGAGGTGGAAGGAAAGTTCAATGGCCCAATATTAAGAGGCGGTAGACTCAGTGGTTCCAGCTGTTTCCTAGACTGAATTTCTTGATTCTCTTCTTCAACAGCGGTTATCCCCGCATAGGTGTTCTTTCTGACATTCGCCTTTTGCTGAACTTTGGTAGGCTCGAGGTGGACTGGCATTGATATGCTACTAGTCGAATTGCTATGAATACTCGTTGAGTCGAGATTGTTGAGGCTCGATTTCTTCTTTTCCATAAAGTACGTCTCAGCATGGGATTCCTTTGGCGATTCATAGGCTTTGGGTATGGCAGGAACAGGGGGAACGTCTTCATCATCGTCTGTTTGCAAATTGTTGTGCGTGCTGCCGTGCTTGGGCGCCGGCAATCGAGTTGCAGACGATGGTAGAGGGAGACGAGGTTGAACAGATCCCGTAGACGTCCTCACAGTATTATAACTAGCCGTAGAGCCTACAGAGAGACCGGAGCTGTACGACTTTCGATTGTTTATATCTGGGGTCGTTCTGGCGGAAGAAGGAGTCAGGGAGGCCTTGCGTGGGATCATGGATGGAGATCGAGACTCCGCTCGCACATCCATTGATACTGGCGGAGGAGGTGGAGGCACATTCGCAAGCATGTTTAAGCTTTGTGATTGTGGCATCATGGACAAGCGTTTCATTCTTCTCGTGTCAGTTGGGCTGATTGTACGAGCTCCTAATCCCGTGGCGTGGCTGCCCGGCATCATCGACATCCTTTTGCTAGAGCCAGATGATGGGGTACCTGCCTTTGCGCCAACACGTGGAGATCTAGGAGCCAGGGTCGATAAACGGTGTTGCTCTGGAGTAAGAGTAGACCCCCCGAGCAAGTTCGTCTGACTCGTCCGCGGAGGTGGCTGAACTGATTTTGCCTTGATTGCCCGCGATGTTGGCAAATTGCGTGTTGAGTCTGAACCAGTTACAGAACCACCGTCAATAGACCGTCTTGTAGAGTCCCGGGGGGCATTTTTGTCTCCCAACAGACTGGTGCGCCTGGCAGGTGCATTTCGGGCGGCCAGGTCCGAATCTGCGATGACTCCAGGCCCCATGGATTTCCGAGGTGGCCTGGGGGCGGCGGCATTTGAAACTGGGGGAAATTGACTCTGGCGACGATTTCGCATAGCTGCGGGCGCAGAAGGGGCATCCAGTGTGCCACCAGAGGAAGAAGACACGACTGAGGACACACTCGTCTGCCTGCTCGAGGTGCTCGGTCGACGCAAGATTGACCCTGAACGACCGGGTCGAGACGGCGGAGGCGGTATGCTTCCACGTGTTGTGCCAGTGTTCTGCGTCATGATTGGCCTTTCAGGTAGTTTCCTTTCCATTAAACCTTTCCCCTCAAGAATGCTTCCTTCGCCGGTGGGTGAAGGGAACTGGGTAAGTTTGAAATCGGTTGAAGCAGATTCGATACTGGTGTGCAGTTCATCAAAACTGACAGACGGGAGAAAATCGAAAGATCCAGGTGATTCGGCGGTATGGCCATTATCGCGATTTCGGTCGAATGAGAGTAGAGAATAGTTTGTAGAGGGTGCCGACAGCATTGGAGCGTTGGTCATCAAGCTATTCGACCTCGAGGTCGGGAGGGAGGGTAGATTGGACCCGGCAGTGCCCCGTCTGTCAGAAAAGCAACATCAGTACCTTGACAAACATGTAGATGCCAAAGCTAATACATCCTCGCGAGGGAGAACTATGGAAAGCCAAAAGCGACCTTCTGAGTGAGAGTGAATCACATACAATCGAGTCGGAGAATGAGCCGGTCGTGACCCAAGCGGTCGATTCTGCGTCACGGTCATAGAGAGCCAGTCAAGGTCGAGTCGACGATGCGAGCAGAAACGGTAGTTGACTTTGGCAGAGCGGCGTGGCTCGTCGTCGCTGGGACAGCAGCCTCAGTCCGGTCTGGGAGCTGAGTTCATTCGAGACAGCTACCTCATTCCGAACATGGGTGACTGTAAGGAGAGTCGCAGTCAAGATCGAGGCAGCGGCCGAATGACAGCAGTTTCAAGGTGAAAATTCAATCGAACGGCCACAGCCAGATTACAAACCCCTGATCCTGCCTCGAAAGGACCTGGGATGAGTATTGTGTGGGGGCTAGAGAGCACGAAAGGGAGGTGGATGGATGGGAGACGAAGTTGTCGTCGGTTGTTTTCGACAGTGTGCTTGCTCGAGTGAGGGACCTGCAGCCACTGAATTGGCGGGCAGATTGCGGAGGCCAGTGGAGCTCGTTGAGGGGCCAGGTCACGGCGGCGCGCCCTGAAGGGCGGCGGTCCCTTCCTTGGCTGCAGCAGCGAGTGATGGGAAGGTACGAACGAATGCCAGTCTTCCGGGACGGCGAGGTTCTTGCTCGTACCTGCCACAATTACCGATTGGAGCCAAGGAAAGTGCCACTCATCTAAAAATTTCAAATCTTAGCGTGTTTACTCCGTACATCTGCCTGCCTTTCAAGAATCAATCATCCGAGGCAATTCGTACGCCGTTCCATCATGTCGATAAGTCCAATACACACTCTGGTGCGATTATTTTGCAGTCTGTTGTTTCTCCTATTTGACACCCAGACATCCAGGCAGTTGCGGTCGGGCCACCCATTATGGTCGCATCAATTTCAACGTCGAGCACCAAGCAAAGCAGCTTAGCCTTGGTTAAGAGCACTGATGAATGGTGGTCGGTGGCCGGTGGGGCATGGAAACAGAAATGAGCATGAATGGCAGGTCCACAATACGCGAGCCAAATGCATGCGGGCTTGCTGTCAATTTCGGTGCACGAGGCAAAAACATCAGACGCTGTCTTTGTGATCTGCACGTCGCATTGGGACAAGATTGTATATTGCTTTCTCCCTTTGCTTCATAGTTCTTGAGATGCTCAAGCCTTGGCGGTTATCGATTTTGGAGGTCAACTGTTAGGTACGGCAAGTGGGATGGGGGCAGGAGAGACCTGTGTACCTCGAGGTACCTGACTCAACATTGAAGTCAAGCACCCCGTACGGTCTGGTCAAGTCTGGTAGGACAGGAGGGCGGGCGCTAGCTAAGGGTAAATTGCTCAGTGGGCTCACTCTTTTGACTAGGTGCGCTCACGCCCCATCAGGTGCCTGGCTATTAGGCTTTATATTATAATACATTCATGTATACTTTACGATAGGTAAGTATATATTATGATAAATTATTTACTTACCTGGGCAAGTATACATTGGGAGAGTTTAAGTACAGTAAATTCCTATCTGTAGTGGGGGAATGGGCGCACCTAGCAAAAAGAGTAAGCCCGCCGAGCAATTCATAGTTAAAGTACACAGGGGCCGACTTAGCTGGTACGACCAGTGACATGTAGTAGGCGGTCGCGTAGGTCCCTGGGCAGGAGTACAAAACCAGACACCAAAAAATGGACAAGTGCCAGTCTGATTGACATCGAACACTGCATGCACCCGTCAGAGTCCACAGGGGCTTCAGCACCAGCTTCGAAATATTTCAAATTCGGGCCTTGCTCTCGGACAGTGATACCGTAATCGATGTCCAGCAGCCGGGACATTTGGTACGTTTTGGGCGGCGTGCAGGCGGCTCGCATATCCAAGGCGACAGATGACCTCAACTGGTGCTGCTCACTGGGCAACAGGACGACAAGGACTGCCCGCTGTGTTTTATGAAGCACGGAGTCGTGGAGTATTGGCATGCGTACCTGTTGGATCCAATTGGGACACGGCTCGATGCAAGCATTGACGAGTATGCATATCAGAAACGAGTTGTTTTTACTATTGCATCTTTGCCGAAACTCATGTCCCATGTCACGTCGACTAGTCGCCCTCCCCTGATGTACCCCTGTCGAACGCTGCAATCGCAGTATCAGCGCCCTACATTCATACCAGACGTTTCCTGGCATCGTTACGGAGTACTTAGTACCCTGGTTATTTCCAAGGCTCAATGACGACAGCTGCCGCGCTCATTTAGTTGTTGTTTGGTAGCGAAATTGGAGGTCAATGTGTCCGAGAAGAGAATGTATACATAGCTTGGCCAGACCCGGGATATAGAAAACAAGTTTTCATATTACTTTTCACGTTTCTCTGTGCTGCAAGATGCAATCAAAATTCGGGTTAAGTCGCAGGCAAGGCTTCGGGGGCAAGAGAAGACGACGAGGTTTTCGTCGCCCTGCATTGGGCACTCCAAGCTTCTCCTTTCCTACGGAGTACAGATTGTGTCTGTGCTCATTAAAAGCGTCCAAGACCTCAGGTGCTACTACTGTACGGTGGTCTGCAGAATGCATTGCCTGAGACGTTGGACTATTAGAATCCACATGGGCAGCGCCAACCAAATCAAGTCTTGGATTCTGGTGATATGGAACCTTTTTTCCAATTGCGGTCTTGATCTGGAATTCTGTAATAAGACCCTTGATACCTGACAAAGAAATGAGCCCAAACATTGCCTTCCCCTGGTCATTGGTCGACAAGGCAACAAACCTTTCAATTTCCTAATAATAAATCTATTACCACCTACGGAACGACGAGTACCTACCTAGGTAGGTACTAAGGTGCTAGTTATTATGTTTATTGGTACCATGTTGAGTACCATGGATCACTCTGTACGCGACGGCAAACATTGGTCCTGGTATTTCGCTGTTCTCTCGGGTATTGCAAACGACAGTGTACACCTCTTGGCCTGAATTCGTACATCAGTGGCTAGCCTCCGTGACTGTGTACTGTTGTTGCGACGTTTTCGGACCTTGGTGACAGGCCCAGCATGATAGGCCGATTTTTAACGAACAAGACGGGTGGTGAAATGGAGTCCAGGGGAGAATTGCACTGATTGACCATTCTTTGAGCCGCTCATTCGCCAGAGATGATTGAATGGATCGCGGTTGACGGTACCCGGTCCACAAAGAGTTGCCTTACTCAACATGTCGACTGGTAGTCTTTGCTCGTAATATTGCGAACCCAAGCACTCAGTACGACATCAGTCCACCACAACTTACGCCCGTATCAATAACGAGGAAACGCGCACTCCGACGTCGTCGACCTGAGCCAAAAAAACAAAAAAGAAAAAAAAGAAAAAAAAAGCCTCGTGCATGGCGAAAGAATAAGAACATTAGCTTTTATTTCATTTCAGTTCAGAATCTAAGGGAGTGACTTAGAAGAGGCACGTGACCCATGATACGGGGGACAAAACCAGGTGGCGAACATGTACATTAAAGTGAGATGCTAGCGGATTTTAAAGTAAGAAACTTGTGCAATTCCATCCAGAATAAAAAGACTTTGCTACCGAACTGAAACAAAGACTCCTCTCCGTGTACGGAGTACAGGTGGCATACGTAATCCCACCAGTGCCCTGACTTTCATGCCCCAGATTCTCAATCCCGCCGGAGGCAATAACCGGTAGTAGGTAGCCCCGACCCTCCGGCTGATTGGCAGATTGCCGCCTCTGAGATCATCGGACAGCCCAAACCCACCAGCTTGACCTCATCACATGGCAGCCGAGCTTCAGGCTTGGCCGACCTCCACCGCCGCGGAGCCGCCACACACGGCCGCAACAAAGCTCCTTCACCAAGCATCAGGTGTCATGACGAGAATAGGAACATCTGCACAGCTCCCTTGTTTCGCCGATGGACGACTTTACGACCGAGATTATTGCCTCTGCGGAAGGTGCAACTGGCACCAAGGATAGTCTGCAACCGAGCCAGCGACAGGACGAGAAGTATCAGCAGCAGCAACCGCAGCAGCAAGGGCAGAAGAAAGGATGGGGAGGACTGACAGCTTTGCGAGACCGAACCTCGATCCAGGACAGATTGGTGGACCGGTATGGAGAGATTTTAATACTTGAGAGAGGAAGGGCGTCTTTGCTAACATTTGATCATTTGATGCTTGCTCGCCAGGCTGCTCCAGCAGGTCATGCCCATCGATGGTTCGGTGCGGGACAACAACGAAGCGGTACCGAATCCCTTTGAGCGGCCCAACTTTAACCTGACAATCATGTCCAACAATTTCCGACGGTTCAACTCTCGTATCGGTGTCGTCTTCCGGTTCCAGGAGAAGGTTGAAGCGCTGCTGTCATGGCAGACGACGTCGCATACGGTTTCGTACCTGGCCATTCTGACATTTGTTTGTCTCGACCCGTACCTCTTGGCAGCACTGCCCATAGCGTTCCTGGTATTCGGCATCCTGATCCCCGGGTTCGTGGCGCGACACCCGGCACCTCCCAAGGGGACGCTGTCGAGCGAGCAGAGCATCGGATACTCGCCGACCGGACCGCCCTTGGCGCCGGCTGCGACGCCCAGGCCGGCCAAGGAGCTCAGCATGGACTTTATCCGCAACGCGCGGGACCTGCAAAACCAAATGGGGGACTTTAGCAACGGCTACGACAAGGTGGTGGAGCTGCTGGTGCCCATTGCCAACTTTAGCAACGAGGCGCTGTCGTCGACGGTGTTCTTGTTCGCCTTCTTCGGAGGCATCGCCATGATGCTCGCCGCGCACATGCTCCCCTGGCGCCTCATCTTCCTCGTCGCCACCTGGACGCCCGTCATCCTCTGCCACCCGGCCGTCACCACACTTCTCCACCAGGCCCGCCAGAACCAAGGCAAAGCCCGAGAAACGCTCGCCAGGACGTGGCTGGACAACTGGATCGCCGACGACGTGATTCTCGACTCGGCCCCCGAGACGCGCGAGGTCGAGATTTTCGAACTCCAGCGCAAGTCGGCCGCTGGCGAGTGGGAGCCGTGGGTGTTTTCGCCGAACCCGTATGACCCGCTGTCCCAGGCTCGCATTACGGGTGATCGGCCCAAGGGGACGCGGTTCTTCGAGGACGTCATGCCGCCCAATGCGTGGGAATGGAGCGAGAAGAAATGGGCGCTGGACCTGTGGAGTCGCGAGTGGGTGGAGGAGCGCATCATCACGGGCGTCGAGGTTGAGACGGAAGGCGAGCGGTGGGTGTATGATATTTGGAGCGAAAAGGGGGATCGGACGGGGGTGATTGACACGCCGGAACCGGTCCAGAGCAAGGAGATGGCGATGCGGCAGACGAGCTGGGAGGAAGGGGAGGATGCGACGGAAAGGAGAGGGGACTGGAGACGGAGGAGATGGGTACGCTTAGTGAAGAGGAAGGCTGCTCCAGAGTCTTGATGATGTATGTATCTGGGTTTTGATAAGCTTTTTTTCTGGTTTGAAAGCCATGGAGTGGAGTTTGTGGGAAAATTGTAGTACATTCTAGCCTTTCCCTCCCTTCGGGGATATATGAATCTATCGTCATTCCAACGTGGTTCTTGTCGTGTAACCGCTCAAATTATGCCAATGGCATTCCTATGCATGAATGTGAATGAAATCCCAGAGCCCCATGACGCCTTTCGCTCTACAGCAGCCCTCCCCTCCCCCCTCTCTTTCGCAAAGCTCCCAAAGGAAGTGGAAAAAGAAAAAAAAAAAAAAAATTCAACACCCGATATCCCTTCCACATGATAAACAGCACGCAAATTGTTATGCCAACGTGTCGCCCAACGCTACATCTTCTCAACCACCATCCTGTCCAAAATCTTGCGGATGCCTTCCGCCTTTCCGTCCCCGCCGTCCATCTGGCTCGCCATCTTTCTCGCCCGCGCAATCAATATCCTGATGACGTCCCTCGTGTACTCGAAGCTCCCCGTGCTCTCCATGTACGACACGGCGTAGCGCTTCACCTGGACGTCGGTCGTCTTCTGCTTCAGGATGTTGATGAGCTGCATGTTGGCGGGGTCGGCGCGGACGCTGTGGATGACGGGGAAGGAGAACTTGCCCTCGGTCAGGTCCTCGCAGAGGCCCTTGTTGTCGCTGTACTCGCGGCTGGAGAGGTTCATGTAGTCGTCGCGGATCTGGAAGATGAGGCCGATGAGGTTGACGAGGGGCACGCAGTCCAGGTCGGACGCGGACTCGGCCTGCATGAGCTTGATGCCGAGGCGGAACAGGCCGCCCGTCTTGTTGCCCACCATCTCGAGGTAGTCGTCCTCGGTGGGGCAGGTGAGGGTGTCGCGCCAGAAGAGGTCCATCCCCTGGCCGCGGTGCAGGTTGACGAGCTCGTCGGCGAAGACGGAGATGCTCGAGGGGTTGCCGAGCTTCTGGAGCTCCTGCAGGGCGACGAAGTAGATGTAGTTTGCCGAGTTGATGGTCTGGGGCACGCCAAAGATGTTGTGGGCGACGGGGAAGCCGCGGCGCAGTTCCGACGAGTCTTGCACGTCGTCGACGAGGAGGGAGGACTCGTGGAGCATGCCGACGGCCCTCGTGATGATTTCCAGGCGGCCGGGGGGCACCCGGAGGAGGGCGTTGAAGGCGTTGATGAGCTGGGAGCGGAAGTCTTTGCCCGGGTGGGAGGCGACGTACTCGAAGGGGGCGCGGACGACCTTTTCCTTGTCGTCGGTCCAGCAGCGCCTGGGGGTGAAGTTGAGGTCCTCGTGCTCGTAGCGGCGCGGGTCGGGCGGCTGGGAGGGCTGCTGGTTGTGGTGCATGATGAAGCTGGAGATGGGGCTGGCGGGAGGCGCCCTTTGCGACTGGGAGCGGGGGCGAGTTCGCGAGCGCTGCCCGTTGCCGCCAAAGAGGTCGGTTTCTACGACGGGGCTGAGGATGTTTGGCAGTGGAGCGGGCTGCGTGAAGCTCTGGTAATGGTTGGAGGCGGCGGAGGGCGGCGGTGCGAGTGCGAGGCTGTTTCTGTTGTTCAGGCCCGTGCTGGAGGTTCGAGGGGGGATGGGGGGATTGGACTTGGGCGGTGAGGAGGAGAGGAAGGGGATTGAGCTGGAATTGGTGCTCGTCGACGTGGTCATCTTGTGGGAGTCCCCGGGCGTGGCAGGTAATAAAGGACTCGAGCTGACAGCTCCAGACGGCTCCGGACGGCTCCGGACGGGAGCTGGGGCGGCGGGACAGGATGAGGCAGGGAACATCAGGCGCGACACAAGGTCTTTGTGGTTGAGTCGTCTCCCGATGTCGAGCCGTGGGGCGGACGGGAGCGAGGGTGGGGGGTCTCACGATCACCAGACTGTTCCGTTTCAACCGTCTCAACAAGCAGAAGAATCCGTGACGGCACGGGTGATGGGATGCCCAGATCAGGCCAACGGGCTGCGTAATTGGAGTCGCGGCAGAGCCAGGCAGAAGAACCGTTGAAACCGTTGAAAGTCGTCTGGCGCTACTATAAAAAAAAACCAAGGGTCAGCGCTGGGTATTCTGTAGTGACATGTGATACGCAGGTGCAGCCCCACAGCCCCGCTGACGCCGTTTTGGGCGGCTGCAGCCTGCTGAAGACGCCGCATGGCATGGCAACGAGCCCTCCCCTCATGTTGACGGGCGGCGACTTTGGTGCGAGGTAGAACTGGGTCAGGCAGAGGCCCAGGGAAGGATGCGCGCTTGGTGCCCCGGGCCGCCCTGTGTATCCTCGACGCCCAACGCCAGCGTTGCGGACAGAGACCAAAGTGGAAATCGTCATCACGTACCTGTACAGAGCACGACTGATGAATAGCAATGCGTAGTGCCGTCTTTCTTGGAGAGAGGAAACAGGAGGAGAAAATGTCCAAGGCGGAATAACCAATTTTAAAGCCATCTGCAAATCTACTCGGTACGCGCGAGGGGGAAGCCCATGCACCGCGGAATGGCGCCGACTGGACGATCCAGCCACACCGTAGTTGGATAGCAAACCAAGTTGGTACTACTCAAACCCAAACTATTTCGTATACGGAGTAAAGGCCAGGCATCAAAGCCCGACGTCTAGGTCGCTAGCTTCTGGCCGTGGCGGAGAGACATGCTTTGACTTTGTCTCTGAGAGGCTGAAGCCCTTGGCGGTGCATGTGTACTATTGTTCCAATGGCAAGTAACTTGTTGGATACTCGCAAAAGCAATGTGAAAGAAGAAGCCAAAGTCGGTGACACCATCGTGTTGTCACCCATGGCTTCAAAGGTATTGCACTACTCTCTGTGCAGCTATGATGATAGCCCACCAATACCATCTAAAACATAAAAGTCATCATCCAAGTCACCCAACATACGCTTCTGGGCATGGTTTAATTACTTGCATTTGCGTCTCCCCTCTCTGGACCCATCATGACGCAGGGTCAGGGTCATTCCGACCCCGAAACCCGAAAGCTACAAAGCGGTTGGGCAGCACCGTTGCCCTGGAAACCCATTGTGCATGCACTAGCAGCCATGATCCACGGCCGTGTTTGCGACAAGGCCCAACACTCTTATCCACAACGCATTATCTCTTGATCTTTTTTTTTGCTCGTGTTTAAAAACACCGGTACCTGGCTTGTCGTTGGGCGAAGCATATTGTGGAATGTTTGCCCAGATGCATTTCTACTTCTACTATTTGTATTAACGTTTTGCGCTTTGCGCTCCCATCGGGGCGGCTTCGGTCCTGAGCGTCACGTTTGGCTTTGATATATACCCGCACCTGTTTCTGGTGCTTGACTTTCAAAGAGATCAAAGTTCCAGCGTCATACTTGCTTCTTGTCGCAGAATCAGCTTTTCGCCATTTGCCACTCGCATCCGCCGCCCAGCACGAGGTCCCTATATCGCAAACCCCATCACGACATTGTATACCCAAAATGGAAGCCCTGTTGTCCCTCGCCTTCGACAACCTCTCTTCCTACGACGGCCCCAAAGTTCGCAAGGGCCTACGCCAAGTGGAGGGTCTTCTGGCGCAGATATGTCTTTCTGACGGCAGAGCAGCGGCCCAGCGACGGCAGAGTTGTGTCGATGGTGAGGCAGACGCGCCCCTGAGCCCTCCGAGGAAGGACCTCGGCGAGCTGTCGCAGGACCCTGCGTTTCGCGAATTCTTCAAGCTGCAGGAAGGATTCGAGTGGAACGTTGCGATGCGGCTTATTAGGACGCTGGATCGGCTGATGGCTAAGGGGAGTGATGGACAAAATGACTTGCTGATATTGAGCGCGCTCGACTTGATTCAGGGCGTGCTGTTGCTGCACCCGCCTAGCAAGACGCTCTTCTCGAGGGAGCAGAACATGAATGTAGGACGAACCGCCACAGACAGTCACAGCGGTGCAAGAGTCAATGACTGACAGGCGACGCAGCTTCTTCTAGACCTACTCGAGCCCTTCAACTGCCCTGCAATCCAATCCGCCACGCTCCTGACGCTCGTGGTCGCCCTCATCGACACCCCCAGCAACACACGCACCTTTGAAGGTCTCGACGGCCTCCTCACGGTGACATCGCTCTTCAAGTCCCGAAGCACCTCGCGAGAAGTCAAGCTGAAGCTCGTCGAATTCCTCTACTGCTACCTCATGCCCGAAACACCCTCGATACCGCGCGCCGACCAGCGCGACTCTGTCCCTGCCATGCTACAGCGCAGCCCTAGCAAGCTTGCTGGAGCATTCAATGCCGAGTCGCGTCGCAAGCGCGCCGGCAGCTCCGGTTTGGTGACGCTTACTACGGAAGAGAAGCAGGAACTTCTCAGTCGACACCTTAGCAGCGTCGAGGATCTGGTGAAGGACCTCAAGAACTGCGCTCCCTTTGGAGGAGTCGTGTGTTGACGACAAAACTGAAATGGATATTGGTGTGACTGCCAGCGTTGTAAGATTTTTTGTTTTCAGGGCTATCTTCATTACTTTTTCACTACTTTATGTGTGTTTTCATCTGTTACTTGTCATCACTACGAGCGCAGCTAATTTTGTTTCCCCCCTTTTTCCCTTTTCTTTTCTCTTTTTTGTACTGTGGAGGCGTTGGATGGCAATATGCGAGGATTTTTCAAAGGCTGCAAAGGCATCGAGTCTGCGCTGATTAAGATTTTCTTTTTTCTTTCTTTCTTTTTTTTTTTTTTTTTTCAGTTGGTATGGAACTTATGAATATCGTGTACGAATAGGTCTGGCGTTGCATAAATAGATAAAAGAGGGCTTCCTTATTACTCTGAAACTGCTGTCATGTTGGTTCGTGATTGATCCTCCTACATCAGAAAGAAAATCTTAAAATTTTCTTTTTTTTTTTTTTTTTTTTTTTTTTTTTTTTTCAGTTGGTATGGAACTTATGAATATCGTGTACGAATAGGTCTGGCGTTGCATAAATAGATAAAAGAGGGCTTCCTTATTACTCTGAAACTGCTGTCATGTTGGTTCGTGATTGATCCTCCTACATCAGAAAGAAAATCATTGTGGCCTGTCCTTGCATTTTTTGCTCTTGTTCCACATTCAGTCGCTATATCTGAACTATGCCCCGGTCTCATTATAACACGTCATGGTCGCATGGCAGATGGCACATGCACAATCTGCTACACCTTCTCCAAGTGACTTGGGAAACACACGTTTGGTTCGGGCGGAGGTGGCGGCGGCGGCTCCGGGACAGGGACCTGCGACGCGGCGCCGTCCAGTTCGAACAGACCGTCGATTGCCTCGACATTGGCGCTTTCCCAAGGCGAGGCTGGCCGCTCCGGCCTGGGAGGCGAGGCCTCGTTCTCGGCCATTTCCACGAGCGTGGCATTCGCATCAGACGCCTGGCTGCCGCCGCCCGCGGCCTGTCCGCCGGGCCCGCTGGCTGGAACCTCTGTCCCTGTGAGCTCTGCGCGGCCCGCGGCGTCGGCAAACTTGTCCCTGTGAGCGGCTGCCCGCCGCCGGCACAGCACGAGGCTCCAGGCCAGCAGCGCGATGAGCAGCGACGTGCCCAGCGCCACGCCGACGCCAATGCCTGCCTTTGCGCCCGACGACAGGCCGTCGAATTCAATCACGGACGCGCCCGTCGGCGAGTCCACGAGCGTCGTCGTCCCCGTCGGTGGGGAGGACGAGGCCGTCCGCTTCATGACGCAGTTCCCGTCGGCCTGGCAGTCGGCGTCGAACGGACAGCATTTGCCGCCGAGGCTCGGCGGGCAGAGGTAGTAGCTCGTCTGGGGGCATTGCCTGCCGCAGCACCCCCTGGTGGTGGAGTTGCCGGCCGTGATGCCGCCGAGGGTGGTGGTGCAGTAGTAGAATTCGCTCTTGCAGGGCGACGTGTCGTCGCAGTTGGATCCGATGCGGCAGCACCCCGCCTCGTTGGACTTGTCGACGAAGCAGTAGCTCTGGTTGTCGCAGCACGCGCCGGGCTGCTTGATGTCGAGACCTGGAGTGGCATGAGCGTCGGGCTATGGTGAAGGGGGGGGGGGGGG